AAGAATGTGAACAACAACATGAGGATGACATGGAGGATGAGCCTCACGAACAAGAAGAATCGGAAAACGAGTGCAAAGAATCCAGAGGGAAAGATGAAGATAAAATTGAAGATGAGCCTGACAAAAAAGAAGAAGAACTAAAGAGGGATTTGGAAGAATCTGAAGAGCAAGATGAAAATAATATGGACGATGAAGCTGGAGAAGACGAACAGTTTATTATGAATAAGGGTATGTTTACCAACCCCCTGCTTCCTCTTAAAAAAAAAACAACTTTGACATATTCAAAAGGTTTTTTTTCCATCAATTTGGAGGACTAATGGCGAATATCAGCTCCTCATTAATCACTACACAAATTGTTAGCTTCTACAATTTTTTCCCCTCCCCACCCAGCTTAGCAACATTCAGCGGTTTATTCCAATTGTGAGAGAAATTTTTGCTCATTGGAAAGCCTTTGTGCGGTTTTCTTTTCTGCAAAGCGATAAGGTGTTCTCGGGAAGCGCTTTTGCGAGGTTTGCGTTGAACTTCGGTGCCCCACTCTATATAAAAGTCTCGCTATGAATTAGTCTGAGCAGAGCGTAAGGGTTTCATACATGGAACTTTACTAAATTTCTTCTTTCATCCTTGTGTCCTGTTATTATGCAACAGATAAACACCAAGCAGATGACAATCTCCCAGCAGCCTCAGGGCGAGAGTCTCCAAGAGCACCGCTGGCCACGTTTGACGATGACAGCGATCTTGATCACTTTTACGAAGCGCTGGATGGTCTAAAAGAAACGAGTGTGTAATCAACAACACTATTCTCAGATGAGTGCATTCTTTGTGCAGCAATTTTACTTCGAAATCGATGAAGTAGTTATCAAGGAACCTGCAGTAGTTTTCGTAAATGTTGTCAAAATACAAGCTTGTTGTTTTAAGTGCCCGTGTCACGCTAAATATAATACCGTAGTTAAATATTCGTTTAGCTAAATGTAATGAAAATGGGTCATTTGAGAGGATTACCTGCTAGGGATACTTGTTTAGGTGTCAATGAGTTGCCTAGCTTGAGTTTGGGCTATATATGTAGCACTTCATACATGTACTATTACAGATCAAAAGCATGTTGATTTCCTTCAGCCATAGTCTATTAACTATGCTTCAGCAGTAAGAAAGCTTTGAACTGTTAAAACTAAATTATTTTAGAAGCCCATCTCTGTCCTTTGTAATAACATTTAAGATTATTCTTTATCAATGAGAGTGAGCTTTAAAATAAACAAACAGTGTTTCCTGGCCCTTTTTGGAGTGAATGCCGTAAAGTTACCAACTCAAGACGTCATTCCAAAAGACTGGCGGATACAGTTACCCTACGCATTAATCTCTACGGGCTTTTTCTTGATAAATAGATAACCTTTGAGTAGTCTTTTATACAATTCTTTCAGATGTAGATTGAATTTTAGTTCAGTTAGTGTCAGGTGCAGAAAAAGTGGCAGCATGTGAAGGTGTTTATATATAGGGTCTGATCAGAACAGGAGGCAAAGTATAGGCTGCTAGAGAAAAGATTGTCACTCCCTATTTACTTGTCATTTGTTAAAACTGGTAAGATTTTAAGTACATGGCTGTGTTGTTTGGCAATGTTAAGCCATACATGGTATTTATTCAATCTAACACTGATATCAATATCTTATACTTATGATTTGTTCAATTCAACCTAAACATGTGAGACACTCAGTAGATGGCTGTGTTGCATTACAATGCTAAGCCATGAATCATAATTATTCAATTTATATCAGTTATCAGATATTGTTTTCTTACTTATGATTTGTTTAATGCAATCTTAACATCTTATGATATATTCTGTAGATGGCTGCTGTATAGCAATGATAAGCCATAATTTGCATTTATTCAATTTGAAGTTACCGGCACCTTCAATATCTTTTCCATTGTAAGCATTCAGTAGCAGGCTGTGTTGTATAGCAACGCTAAGTCATGAATGATATTTATTCAACCTGAAGTTCTCTTACTCATGATTTTGTCATTACAGTGGTTACATCTGATATGTTTAGTAGATGGCTATGTTGTATTACAATGCTTAAAGCCATGAATCGTGAATGTTCCATCTGAATTTACTAATGACATCTTACTCATGATTTTTTTCATCACAATCATGGTAACTTCCACCATGTTTAATAGATGGTTGCTTAATTTAACAATTCTAGGCCTTGAGTCATATTTATTCAATTTCAAGTTGCTTTTGATATCTTACTCATGATTTGCTCAAAAAAAAAAAAGCTAGATCTTAAGTAATTAGTAGATGGCCGCATTGCTTGACAGTGTGATTGCATAATTTTATTTACCCCACTGCACGCATATACCGAGTGCTCAGGTCAGATGATGCATGTGTATCTGGCTCACTTATTTATTCATTTCGATTTTTTGCTCTTTCTACTCTTAAGTAAATTATGCAGAAGCTTGTACAAATTGAAAGAAAAAAGGTGTTGCTGAATTAATGCAGAAAGACAGGAAGATGAACATCAACTGAGTGATATGTATCAGTCAAATCTGTGTTGATAAACTGTCAACTAGCTACTGAAGTCACTTTATATTGTCAAGCATATCTGCCTAAATAAATAAAATAAAATAAAAAGTTGTGGTTTATTATAGATAACTATCCATTAACCCATTGACCCCTAAGACTGACTAGCATCAAATTTCTCCTCACAATCAGCCCTGAATCAAACAGTAACGTCACCAGAATAAAGGAAATCATCACCAAATTAAAAAGCTCTGAAATGTCAACAAATTCTCCTTTTCAGTTCCCTAAAAAAATGTACAAGACAGTACATCGAGAATATGCATACTGATGTTAGATGTACAACTATCAGCTTAGAGGTCATGAGTGAATTTTGTTTAATGAAAACTTCCAGTGCATCAACAAACTGCCTTAATAATCACAGATTATGCAAGGGCTGCTTGCAGCCTGTAGTAAAATTAACAATTATTCCATGAGCGCGCGTTGGATATCAGATGATAGATAGCCAACGAGGTGCGTAGCGCCGAGTTGGCTATATCCAACAAGCGCGGGTGGAATAATTGTTTTATTAAAAATGGCATATTAAATTATTAAATGTTATTTAATTTTTTAGCCCTCTTTTAATTTTAAGCTGAAGCGTACGCTTACCATATTTGTAGATTATGGTATATTGGCTCATATACCATAATGACTGAGCCAATAAAAAGTCTTGGACTGCATTATCCAATGATTCAGTTTTTAATAGTGTGGATTATACGAAGATAAAGGAGACGACATATAACAGTGTTACCAACTTTTATTCGCTCCTAACAGCGGCTTTACAGCAAATGAAACAAAACAAAAATATCAATAGGCCAGCGGCAACCCTCCATAGGCCATATACGGTCAGCGGTCCCTCTGTTCGGCGCCACTTTTGATGAGCGGATCTGCAAGATAACAAACAAACAAACAACAACAAAACGAGTCAAAATATTGAGGCAGGAGGTAGGGAAACTTTATATGTCGTCTCCTTTATCTTCGTATAATCCACATGATACTACAGGCTGCAAGCAGCTCTTGCATAATCTGTGATTATACTTCAGAACAGTCACCTCCATATAAAAGTTGCTGTTTAAGGGCTGTTCTGCTATGACTCATTTTGAAGATCCGAGTACAGCTTGGCCCGGTTGAGCATCAAAGCTTAGGTGGTAATAGAACTTTTTAAAGGTCGAAGGACCTGACCAATCTTCCAGAGTTAAAATTTGAGGTAAAGATATACCTGCTTCAATTGCAGCAGTGGCTGCCGCACCCCGTGATGAGTGGGCTTTGAATATAGAAGTATCAACTTTAGCCGCACCTAAAGCTTCTTTCATCCACCGACCAAGGGTGGAAGATGACACTGGTCTATAAGGGCGGATGTAAGAGACAAATAACTTGCATGTTTGAGACGTTTGCATTAGAAGCATTGGGCCGAAAGGCTTCTGTGCGTTTCTCATATTCTCCTAGACATTCAATAGGCCACAATCTAGCATTAGAAGGTAAACTGGCATGAAATGAAGTTCTAGCAGGATTTCCGATACATGACTTTTTTTTGTTAATTGTTAATTGGGGGAGAGTAAAAGAAACCCCTTCAGGGTAAAAACGTCTGAATATGAGGTCATGTGCAGCCAATTCAGACCCTTATTCAGCAGATGTGAGGGCCAGCAGGACCACTAGTTTCTCAGACAGTTGTTTCAATGACAATTATGAATTATCATCAAGGCCTTCTAAGTAGCTAGTGATCTGATGAACCTTCCATGTTTGAGTGTTGTGAAGGGGTGGTCTCTTGTCGAATATACCCTTCATAACTTGACAAGCCAATGGATGTTTGCCAACCCTCAGAGAATCAATGGTTAGGTGGGTCATGGATATTGCTGAGCGATAGACATTAATTGATTGGTATGCCTTGCCCGAGTTCAATTCTCTTGTAAGGAAATCGAAAACTGCCGATAAAGGGGCTGAAATGGGATTAATCTGTTGTTGATTACACCAGCTAGCCCACGTTTGCCAAGCTGCCCCATAGGCACTTGAAGTGTTTTCTCGCCATGCAGCTGTGAGCCGTGTTCCAGCCACTGCAGAAATGCCTGTCTCTGAGTATGAACGGTTGAGACAAGCCTTCTTGCTAACTGAAGGTCGGTTAGGAGGTGATTTTCCCCCTTGCCTGGTCAACAGATCTACATGGTTGTGGAAGCAACCGATGGAAGTCGACACAGCGTTGGAGGAGTGATGGGTACCAAGGCTGGGTTTCCCATACTGGGGTTACTATGACCAATTTCTGAACTTGTTGGAGAATGACTTGTTTTAGGCATCTCCCTACTAATCCGAAAGGGGGAAAGGCATACCCCGTCAACTGAGCCCAGTCCAGGGTAAAAGCATCCACTGTGTCTGCCCCTGAATCTGGCCTCCAGCTTGCGTACCTTGGGATCTGGCACGATAGGCGGGATGCACAGATATCTATTTCCAGGGGACCCCCAAAGTCTCTGAATACATTGGAAAAGGCCTTTGGACACAATCCAAAAGATTACTCCACATCAACTGCCTAGAGTTGATGGGAGGGGCTTTCGCAGTGAAAGCCTTCACTCAACACAAATCTCAAGCGAAGGTTCTGTTGCTCATAGACAATGTAACAGCAGTGACATATATCAACAAAATGGGGGGCACTAGGTCCCCCATTCTGTCAAGTCTTGCCTTCGAACTGCGGTCTTGGTGTCTTCAACGCCAAAACATAATGGCGCGACATATTCTAGGAATCCAAAACTTCCAGGCCGACCAGGCGTCGCGTACTGTTGTAGATCACTCCGACTGGAAGCTCAAACCTTCCCCCCATTTTGTTCATATATGTCACTGCTGTTACATTGTCTATGAGCAAGAGAACCTTTACTTGAGTTTTGTCTTGAGTGAAGGCTTTCACTGCAAAAGCCCCTCCCATCAACTCTAGGCAGTTGATGTTGAGTAATCTTTTGGATTGTGTCCAAAGGCCTCCCGTACGTTTTCCATTGCAGACAGCTCCCCACCCTAGAAGGGAAGCAACTGTCTCTATTGTTAGATCTGGGTCCCCATTCACTAAGACCTTGCCGTTCCAATCCATCAAATTGTCTCCCCACCATATCAGTTCCTCTCGTGCCTGAGGAGATACCTGCACCTCGCCTTTGAAATTCATTTAAGGGAGAGATGCTGATTCTTTACGTTTTGCAAATGGCGGTCAACAGGAGCTGGAAAGACAGCTTGAATGGAACTGTTTAGCAAGCCTATCAAGCAATGTCCGGGAAGACACTGCTAGCGCCTTTTGGCCTATCAAGCTTGCCAACTTTTGCAATGTCAGGAAAGACACTGTTAGGGCCTTTTGGCACTCCCGCTGTATCTTCCGAACTTTCTCGCGGGGTAACGCTAGAATCATAGTTGTTGAATCCACTAGGAAACCTAGGAATTCCATCTGAGGGGAGGGAAGCATCGCTGACTTCTTGTAATTCACCACAAAGCCTAGATTTTCCAGTGTACTGAAAACTAACTGGGCATGTTGATTTGCAAGTTGTTTGCTTTCTACCATTATCAAAATGTCGTCTAGGTAGACTATTAGCCTTACGCCCAATTTGCGCAGTATCCCCACCACTGGTTTTATGAGCTTGGTGAAGACTCTCGGTGCACTGGCTAGGCCAAAGGGAAGGCAAGTGAAGTCCCACATTGCGCCCTTCCACAGAAATCCAGATACTTTTGATGGCCTTACCACACTGGAAGAGTGAAATACGCGTCCCTGAGGTCCAATTTGACCATGTAGTCGTCTTTTCTTAAAAGGCCTCGCAGCACGTGTATCCCTTCCACTTTGAAATGAGAATACTCTACAAAATTGTTCACGGCTTTCAAGTTTATGACAGGCCTTTGACCACCACCTTTCTTGGGAACCATGAACAGGGAACTTACAAATCCTGGTTCTTTGTCTGACACTGGGGTTTTGTGAATCGCCTCTTTGTCTTGCAAGGACTTGATCTTGAGACAGTGTTATGTCCTTACTAGATGAATCACTCATGGCAGTCAAGTGTTCAAACAGCATACACAAAGGTCCTATGATGTCAAGGACTTTGTCTTGCAAGAAGCGGTTATCTTTATCAATTGCTTTCGCTCCCTAAACAAGAGTAGCAATGTAATCATCCAGTTCAGGAGTATAAACAGCATCAACATTAGGCCTGGGATATTCACGGCACGTAGTTTTCCTCTTAAAGTTTGTGAGAGGTTTTCTAGCAACAAGTTCCCGAAAACTGGAAAGTTCCTCGCTCGCCGCCCAACGCGCGGCTGAGGCAAGCGGCTCTGTATC